GCCCGTTAGCATTAGCCTGTTAGCATTAGCCACCCGTGGTGCAGCGGTTCTGTGTTGTCAGTTTGCAGACGCGGAGTGCGCCAAGAAGGCGCTGGAGCAGCTGAACGGCTTCGAGCTGGCGGGCCGGCCCATGAAGGTGGGTCATGTGACCGAGCGGACCGACGCCGCCGCCGCTTCCTCCTTCCTGGACAACGACGAGTTGGACCGGTCCGGCGTGGACCTGGGAACCACGGGGCGGCTGCAGCTGATGGCCCGGCTGGCTGAAGGTGAGGCCACGTCCTCTCTCACACCTGGTGTGACTCCGCCCCCACCTTAAATGCTCACCTGTGTGTGGACAGGTACCGGCCTGCAGATCCCTCCTGCTGCTCAGCAGGCGCTGCAGATGAGCGGCGCCATCGCCATCGGCGCGCTGGCAGCCGTGTCAGGTAAATGGATCACCAGTCGGCTGATCGGCAGCTGTTCCTCCATCTCCGCTCAGTTTCTCACCCGTCTGTGTTCCAGCTGCCATGAATCCACCTCTGACCATGAACATGAGCACTCCAGCGCTGAACCTGCCGTCTCAGCCACTCGCCACTCACTGCTTCCAGCTGTCCAACATGTTCAACCCAAACAGGTGAGCGCACACCTGCTGATCAGACTGGAGATCGCTGCTGATGTTAGCTGTAGTGCAAATGAACGCAAAACTTTTCATATTCTGCTTACGTCGAAAAACACAACTCTGTGGCGTTTCTGTTAAATAAGAAATTAAATTAAGATCACATGTGAATAAGTTTGTTCACCCAATAAAGCAATAGAAAACAGGCCTTCATCCTTCTACCACTTCCTGTTTTCTTCTTCTTTTCCACCTGCAGTAACAGCCGGTTATGATCTGGAGCCTCTTGTGAAGCAAAAACAGTATTTCCATTGAAATGCACAATTTTTTTAATAAACTTTGACGAAGTAAGACAATTATAAGACAGTTGTTAATATTCAAGCTGCCATAGGATTCATCTACCATTTTAACGCGTTAATATTACACAACGCAGATGAGTCAGACTGAATACCAGCCTTCACTGAGAAGGTCTTACATGTTTGAAGTTTGATAAGATTAAGTTTCATTATAAATTAAATTTTCTTTTCGAGCTGCTTGAAATTTAAATTGGAATGAAAAACTACTCCAATGTATTTAAATTACACAACAATCAAGATTAATTATAATCAGGAAAATCCAACAGATCCAAACCTTTAGCTCAGAATCTGATTCTACTAATGCTAAGCTAACTGCAGGTAGGTTTTACTTCTGGTCAGGTCGACGATTCCTCAGATGGTTTCTTTCTGTTCTTTGAGGAAGGAATCTTCTCATTTTTCTGCTTCCTGGAGCTCTGGGCCATAAAACAGCCCAGACCTCTTTTATGGCTCTTTAACTAAAGGTAGAAAACAAAAAACTTCATCGCCGAATTCTCAGATTCTCAGACGTCCTTTCCTTCATTTATCCCAATCTGCATAAAGTTATACGTAAAATGTTTATACCCAAGACCCCAGATCTCCATCCTTACTGATCCCAGCTCAGAGCTGACAGGAAGTGATGAAGTGAGTGAACAGGAAGTGATGAACCCTGTGCTCCAGCTGAGTGTGTGTGTGTGTCTGTGTGTGACAGAGTGTGTGTTGTGTTTCAGTGAGAACGTGCTGGGCTGGGAGCTGGACATCCAGCACGACGTCATCGAGGAGTGCAACAAACACGGAGGAGTCGTCCACATCTACGTTGATAAGAATTCAGCCGAGGTACGCCTCTGACCTTTGACCTCTCTGATGGTTTGAAATAAAAGAAGCTGGAGGTTATATCAGCTAGTTTTAATCACTTGTTTTTAATAACAATGAAACAACATGTAGTGAGACATCCTGTCAGGTGGAGGATCTCTGACCTCTGTCTTTCAGGGAAACGTTTATGTGAAGTGCCCGTCCATCCCGTCTGCCATGGCCGCCGTTAACGCTCTGCACGGCAGGTACTTTGGAGGTAAGACCTGCTGTCACATGACCGCTGCGGACCAATCACAGAGCGGCTCTGACTGATCTGATCTCACCTGTGTTTGCAGGTAAAATGATCACAGCGGCGTACGTCCCCCTCCCCACCTACCACAACCTGTTCCCAGAGTCTGCCACTGCCACGCAGCTGCTGGTTCCACCAGCCAGGCGGTGATCAACAACACCGACTTCTGATTGGATGATAGATCCCGCCTTCTTTTTAAACCTTGAAATCCCATTGGACCAGTTTGACTCCTTGTCTGACTGCCAGCAGAGGGCGCTCTCTGTTTTCTTCTGGACATAAACGACCAGCTCTCCTCCCATTGGTTGCTTCCAAACACTGGTCACATGATCATGTGATGCAACACCCTCGACTTCCTGATTCCTTAGTTTCATTGGTGAGGTCTCTCTGTGGCCCCGCCCCGGACCTCCAACTATTGGCTCCGTGAGCCGTGTGGGGGGGCGAGGCAATGACAAGCTGTCAGTTGATTGGTTGGGTTGAACCGGTTTAGTATTTAAATGTTTTTCTAAAGCAAATTTGATTTTGTAAAATTATTGATTAAAAATTATTTTCATGTCTCTCTGAAATGTTGCAGTCTGTCTTTCTGGGTCCTGATTGACTGGAAGCCGAGGAAGAACCTCCCACTGAAATAACTGGGGATTATTTAAACTAATTAATTTCAGTTCACAGAAAGTTTTATATTAACAGCTTGACTCAAAGACGCAACCAGCAGGGGGAGCCGTAAAGGTTAGTTCTCCAGCAGGATGAAGTCTTCTTCTCTGACTTCAGGTTCTGGTTCATACCTGACTGTCCACGTGATTATCTGATGTTGAACCTGACAGCATCAGGTGGACCCTGCAGCTCATGCTGTGACCACTAGAGGGAAGCAGAGCGCTAACCTACAGGCCCTAACCCAGTGTCCAAGGTGTGATCCTGCATGTTTCTGGCTGTTTACACACTTGATAGCCTGGTAAACTCGATAAGATTGGAAACAAAACTTCAACATTGAAGAAGACACTGAGCGCAACTTCCTTCTTCACCAAATGGAAACTAAAATGAAGGCGTTAGATTTTAGTGGTTGGAGGATTTCTCTTTAGTCTTCAACTAAAAACCACGAGCCATTTCTCCTGCTAGTGCTTGGCTGGAGAACTCTGGGTTGCATTTACCCAGAATTCTCTGTGCTGTAGTCCCCGTCTTGCGGTTGAAGCGGTCTCCGGCGTTTTCATATGCATTCAAACTGAACCAGAGTTCACTTCAACCGAACCCAGACCGAGGTTTCTTGTCAGTCCAGAGTTAGCTTAGCATTCACACCTCACCAACTGAACTGGACTTTCTAAACTTGTGGACCGGAGTTTGATAAAAGCAGACTAATAAGGGCTGGTGTGAATGCACCTTTAGTTCTCTCCCTGGTTTAACACACCTGGATCTTCTGATGGCTCGTTAGAAGAACCTCTGCAGAACTTTGACCTGCTAAGAAGGTAGTTGAAAAACTAAAACATGCAAGAAACCGGACTTGGGGGACTGACTTTGGACTTCCCTGCTGATAGTTCAGCAGGGAACTATCAGCATTATTATTAATGGATTTGAAACCATTAATAATAATAATACATTTTATTTATAGGCGCCTTTCTGGACACCCAAGGTCACCTTGACATAAAACAAAGTTATAAAATACATACCAGTAATAAAACAAACAAGATTTATAAGACAGTACAAAGGTAATTAAAAGCTGTATGCTAGTTCAAACAAATGGGTTTTTAGTTTGGACTTAAAATATTGCAAAGACTCAATGTTACGGAGATCAGGTGGGAGTGAGTTCCAGAGTTTGGGAGCAGAGCAGCTGAATGCTCTGCTTCCCATAGTGACAAGACGAGCAGGGGGAACTTTGAGATGGACCGAGGAAGAGGATCTGAGGAAACGGGTGGGTGTGGCAATGTGAAGGAGGTCCGAGGGATATGAAGGTGTGAGGTTGTGAACTACTTTAAAAGTTAGAAGAAGTATTTTATAGTTGATGCGATATGTGATTGGAAGCCAATGGAGCTGTCGTAAAATAGGTGTGATGTGATGAATTAAGGGGGTCTGAGTAATAATACGAGCAGCTGAATTTTGAACCAATTGTAGTTTATGCAGAGTTTTCTGTGGCTGACCAAAAAGTAGAGAATTACAATAGTTTAAACGAGATGTGACCAAACTGTGGACCAGAACAGCAGTGGAGTGCAGAGTGAGAGAAGGACGGAGACGGCGAATATTTCGGAGATGAAAGTAAGCTGACAGAGTGAAATTATTGACATGGGAGGCAAAAGAGAGGGTGCTATCGAGGATGACACCCAGACTGTTAACCTGAGGGGAGGGAGAAATGGAGGAGTTATCAACTGATATGGAGAAATTATCAAATTTACTTAGTATTGAATTAGTACCAATTAAGAGAAATTCAGTTTTACTGGAATTTAATTTGAGGAAGTTGAGAGTAAACCATTGTTTTATTTCAAGAAGACAATCAGTGAGGGAGGAAAATGGAAGCTTGGAACTATGTTCGGTTGAAACATAGAGTTGGGTGTCATCTGCATAGCAGTGAAACTGGATGTTATGTTTGCAAAAAATATTACCAAGGGGGAGGAGGTAAATTATAAACAACAAGGGTCCCAGGACAGAGCCCTGGGGAACACCTGAAGAGACGGGAATTGGGCGAGAGGTAAATGATTGTAACTGAACAAACTGAGAGCAGCCTGAGAGATATGAACGAAACCAGTTGAGAGGTGTATTTACAATGCCAAGAGAGGATAATCTATCAATAAGGATGTTATGTGAAATTGTATCAAAAGCCGCAGTCAGATCAAGGAGAAGGAGAATGGATAATAAACCAGTCAGCAGCAAGAAGGAGATCATTTGTAATTTTAAGAAGCACTGTTTCTGTACTGTGGAGTGGACGGAAGCCAGATTGGAATTGTTCATATAGATTATTGATTATTGATTATTATTATTTTAGTTGAGCAGCAACTGTCTTTTCTAGAATTTTTGAAATAAATGGAAGATTTGAGATTAGAGTTCATTGGGATCTAAACCAGGTTTCTTAAGTATTGGGATTATTGCTGCAGTTTTGAGAGCCAAGGGAACAACAGCAGTAGTAATGGAAGAATGCACAATGTTAGTGATGAGAGGGGAGAGAGAGGAAAGGGTGGCTTTAACAAGAACAGTGGGAAGAGGATCTAAATGGCAGGTTGAAGAGTTAGATTTTTGAATTAATTTGGTGACATCATCAACAGAAGGGAGGCTGAAGACCGAGAATGAATTATAGGAACAACTGAAACTGGGACAGATGATGTTAAGGCAAGACTGGGTATAAGTTCCTGATGGATAATTTCTATCTTAGAAGTAAAAAATGATACCAAAGTGTTACAAAAATCAGAGGTAAACAGGTGGGGAGGAAGGGAATCTAATGGTCTGGTAGTGGTTGCAAGTACGGAAAATAAAATTTTGGAGTTGTCCTTGTTAGAACTGATTAAAGTGGAATAATATATTGATTTGGCTAAAGAAATTGCATCTTTGTATAGAAGAATGTGACTGGAATACATGTCTTTGTGAACAGTGAGACCAGTTTTTCGGTACAGTCTTTCAAGGCGACGTCCTTTTGTTTTTAACTGTCGAAGAGTGGAATTAAACCAAGGTGCAGTTTGAGTAAAAGAGACAGATCTGGTTTTAAGTGGAGCAAGATTGTTCAGGATGCTGTGAAGACTTTTGTTGTAGTGAGCCAATAGTTCATCTGTGGAAGAAAAATGATGAGCAGTAGGTAGTCTATTAATACAATGTGATAAATTATCCAGGTCAATGTCCTTAATTTTACGGAAGGTTATGTCACGTGGGGGTTAGATTTAGAAAGTGAAATATTAACTCCAAATGGTAGAAAGAAATGATCTGAGAATGGCAGGGAATCCGCTTTACAGTCAGTGGGTGTAACTCAGCAGATTTAATCCAATATATGTTCCCTTTGTATGCGTGGGAAAAGTTGTGTATTGCTGAAGTCCAAAGCTGTCCAAGCACGATATGAAGTCTTTGGAAAGTGGAGACTCCTGATTATCAATATGAATGAGAGCTACATTAGAGCTACATGAAGAAGAACCATGATCCGCCACTGGTTCTGATACTGCTGCTGACTGTAGATGTGTCCATCAGAACCCTGCTGGTCCAGTTCATCAAAATGAAACGAGTTTGGTTCTTTGAACAACAGGAACCTTTATCTGACCTCAGAGGTCGTTCAGGTGGACCACAGTGATTGTGATGTCATCACGGTACCTGCGGGCCAAATCTGCCGGTAGACTCAGCATCCGGGCCAGGCGGTTCTGGTCCACGGATCCGTACCCGTCGTCACCCAAGGCGTGGCGCAGCAGGTGGGTGGCCGCGTTCTGGTCCTCCAGGACCGACTGGACTCGGCCCCTCCGCTCCAGCAGGAGGCGCTGCAGGCTGCCCAGGGTGGTGTCAGCGCTGGGGACGATGGGCCTCTGCTGCTGAAGACCTGAACAAGACCAGAACCAGAACTTAACTCAAAGCTTTTTAACACCGTTCTCTCTGGCGGCCTCTGGTGGCTAAAGGTATGAAGAGCAGCTTCAGCATCATCTACAGCAGGGGTCCCCAAACTACGGCCCGCGGGCCGGATCCGGCCTGCCACGTCATTTGGTCCGGCCCCCTGAACAATGCCGGATCTGGCCCGCCTCCTCATACCAGAGAGCATTCAGTGTTTTTTTTCCATATATTGTATCTTCCGGTTTATATGTGGATCTTTCTTCAACCACCAGGGGGCTCTTGAGCAGATGTGAAACTAACTTTCCTTCAATGGAATATATACTAGTCAGTCCCAGTCACCGTTTCACTCACGGTTTTTTCCATTTGCATTCTGGGTAAAAATCTATCTAAAAGCGCGAATGTGTCGTTGTGTCGTCGCGCCCCCATTCCCCATCCCCCCCGTAGAAAAGAATTTTCTAAGGTTTCTTTCTCCAAAAACTAAGACCGGCCCCCGACCAGAGAAAGAACAGCTATGTGGCCCTCGCAGGAAAAAGTTTGGGGACCCCTGATCTACAGCTTGTGACTGCCATAAATCTATAATTGTAGATCTCTGGTGAGGGAACTTCCTGCTCTACTCTACAGAATAAAACTCCCATCCTAAAAGCTCTGATTGCCATGTCCTGATTCTGAAGACAGATCACCCTGAGCATTAAAGCAAAGCGGTCCAGATGTCTCCTGACCTGCTACATGGTTTCCAACCAGCTGGACCACCGTCTGCCGGTGCATGAGCTCCCACAGTCCATCCGTTGCCAGGATCAGAAACTTGTCTGCAGGCTTCATGAGGTGTCGCGTGACCTCAGGTTGGGCGCTCAGGTAGGGCGGGGTCAGGTAATGAGGCGGCAGAGTCCGGACCGACTCGCTGACGGCAGACAGGACATCTGGACGTGTGTCGTAAAGTCGGCTCAGCATCTCCGGGCTCCATTTGAAGCGAACGTCTCCGAAAGCTCTGAAGGGCAGCAGCAGGCCCAGCAGCCTGTCATGACGGACCACCGTCTTCCTCTCCGAAGCCGGGTGCTCCCCCAGAATCCTTTGTAGCTCTTCAGGGTTCTGGGCATTGTGGTCGTTGGTGAGGCTCAGCGCCATCCAGCGCCCGTCCTCTTCCTGGACGCCAAGGACCGCCCGACTGTCCCCCAGGTTGGCCACATGCAGAACGCCGTTAGAGACGTGAACAACACAAGCAGTGGAGCCTGACAGCGCCACCCGGAGGGGAGAGGACAGAGAAAAGCCTTCCCCAGGGATGGACACCCGTCTGTGGACGTAAAGAAGAAAAGTTATTGTGACAGAAAAAAATGGAGATGGGCTTGTTTTCTAATCCAAAGACATGAAATCACATCAGACTTCTGTAGTGCTTTTTAGCACTCACAAAAATGCTTTACAATTAAATCAGTCATTGCCATTCACATGTTGATGCCAAGCTACTGGATCGTAGCCACAGCTGTCCTGTGGCAGTCTGACAGAATCAAGCCTGCCATATTGTGGTACTGGCCCTTCTGATCACCACCAGCAGGTAAGGTGGGTGAAATGTCTTCCCCAAGGATAAAACGATGGACATGGATGGGGCTGTGGCTCGAACCAGTAACCCACCAATTGCAGGGGAAACTTCACCTTCCATTGCCACAATTGCCCCAAAGAAGAACCCAAGTGTTGGACATCTGAACCCTGGGAGGACCTGAGCAGCAGGCGAGAAGTTCTAAACCCAAATCTGTACCTAAAGAGGAACTGCTGGAACTACATTTACAAGGAGAACCAGGAACCAGTTGGTGCCTTGCTCAAGGACAAAGCTTTCAGTGCTGTCTGAGGATTGGACCATCACTCTGGACTCATCCAATGGTCAACAGCAAAACTTACTGAGCTCTTAAAGACATTCATTGATGTATGAGATCAGAGTCTCTGATGACATACAGACCTGGGAGAGGACAGGGACAGGTGGACCTGAGCCTCCACAGACACATCATAGTCTAGACGTCTGAACGCATCCATCAGTGCTGATGTCACTCTGCCATCATCCTGCAGCAAATCAGAACAGAAAAAGGAAATAATATTATATATGAAACCTGGCAGAAGAGGCAGAGCCTGACTAAGATGCAGTCATTGGGTAATGAAGAGTAGGGATAACCTGGTGGAGACAGGTTACCCCTGTCTCCAGGTTAGTACCATCAGGTAACTGTACCTTCCCAGCAGTAGGTGTAGGTTTATGGTCAAAGCTGTGACAGTCTCCCTGTCCTGAATCACCTTCCTGTTAACGATCTGACAACAGCCGGTTACCTCGTTGTCCTCTTCGTCATCCTCATCCAGCCTCTCCTGCCAGTAGTTCCTGAGGCTGTGGAAGGAGATGGCGCCGCCGTCGGGGCTGCTGTGATCCTGGGGGTGTTTGTGCCACTCCAACAGCGGTGGTACCGCCCGGTCCTCCTCCACGGCCCGGTCCAGTTCCTGCAGCGTTCTCAGTGGCAGCATGGCCACAGTGAAGTAGTAGAAGAGCCTCTGGCTGATGGCCTGAGCACACGATGGACCTGCGTGGCCGTCAAACACACCAAACAGAACCCCGCCCCGACCCAGCAGGCAGGTGGCGCTGCTCCGTCGATCCTCACTAGGGTGGTTAGAGGGAAGTGTGTTGCTATGGAAACCCAGCACTCCATGGGAGGTGGGGCCTCTGGGCAGGATGTGGCTGTGTTCGTTGGCCTGGTAAGAAAGGAGCAATGTGATGGAACCAGCAGCAGAACCTCTGAATGTTGGACCCGTCTCACCTTTAAGATTCTGTTGATCTGCGCTAGGCTCAGCTGGCCCATCTCCTGACCTGCCTGGTACCTTCTGCTCCTGCTGCTTGCTGGGTAATGCAGTCTACGGAGTTCAGGTGGTGCTGGAGCGGAGGACAGATAGCGGGATTGCCGGATCTCCAACCAGCATCTTCTAGCTTGGGCTCTGCTGCTTCGAAGCATAATCGCTTCCAGAACCAGAAGAACCTGGAGAAGTAGAAGGAAGATCAGCTGAGGGACCAGAGCAGGATGTTTTGGAGGAACTAGGTGAATATTAATGCTAACAGAGTTCATTTCCTCTGTTTTATTGTAAATGATTGAAGGTACTGTCATCTACAGCAGTCCATTGCAATTGTTGATCAAATAAAATCTCAACGGTTTGAAAATTAAAACCAGAATACACCAGTTTCTACCCCCAGGTTCAGTCTTTAGGTCATTTTCCTTTCACCTGAACATCTTGAAGCTGCTGGTCCAGTGAGCAGTAAGACCTGGAGACCAGTCAACGTCAATCATGCTTCTAGATTATTCTGCACCTTCTTAGAGGTCTACTGGTTCCTCACCTTGTATTGTTCTTACAAACCAGTTCCCAGACTGACAGCCTATTCTGAAACATTTGTAATAATCAGAAAATACATTGACCTGATGGAACCACCAACCACCAATTGTGTGGCTGCAGTTACAGCCACACAAATGTGGTACCATTCAATCACACCTCACAAAATAGCTCACAGTCAATCTCACCACACTGATATTTTGTTTCTTTAAATATATGATTCAATTTAGAGAGTAACTGGTTTTTGTTTAAATGCAACACGTCATTTAACATTGTATTCTGGAATAAGTGTGCACATTTTCATATACACTGTTATATGTTTCACTTGATTTAAGCTTTGATTGTTTTGAGTTGCCTCAGTGGTGCTGCAGCCTCCAGGGGCACAAAGAGGTGGAGACGACAAATTGGTTCATACCACTACTCAGCATCCAGGGGGGGAAGGAAGTTTCTTATTTAGTTTCAGTTGGGGTTTTGTATGTTTTCCCCTTTGTGTCTTCCATATGGCCTGATCAGCCATTATTTAAATTTCCCTTTGGACTCATTTTAGATAGGTCTGTCTGTTTGAGTTGAATTCTGTTACTTTGACTTCTTTTATGGGCCCAACTTTGTCATTTTTCATTATTTCTGTTTTTAGTGAAAAACAATTCTTTATGGATTTAAACCTGTGCCTGACTCCCCTTTTAATTCTTGGTCCATCACACAAGGGATGGCAGAACCACATAAACTCATGAGAGGACCTCAGATCTGCCAATGAGTGACTATAGGACCGTAGACAGCAGCAGAGACTGGGATGAAATTCAGGCTGCTCCAGGAGGAACCTGAAGATCAGAAACCCTGATCTAAACTAAGAGTAAGCTAGCTGGGTAGCAGTGTTGTGGTTCCTCCTAGTGACAGATCTCAGTGCATCAGAAGGTCTGAAGGGAAACCTTAGGGTTGTGTATTAGGTCTGTTTCATTTACTGCACATCTAAACAACCTCAGTCAGTGTATCTGAAACAAATGTTCACTTCTATGCCGATGACAGTCATGTATTTCTTTGCATCGTTTTGCTCTTAAATTGGGCATGAAACACTTTTGCTTTGAATGTCTTTTAGAACAACATTCTTCAGCTGAAGCTGGTTCTGAAACCTTCTAAGACAAAGCTTCTAACTTTTAGCACCTATAAGAGCCCATAGATTGGAGTGTGCCAGCTCCAGTCAAACAAGTAGACTCTGTTTGATTGGAGACCAAAATTGCAGCAATTGTTGCATTTTCAGGAGGTGTGGTTTGTTTTCATACTGAACTGTGTGAAACCAACCAAACCCTTTGAGCAACTGGCCTGTGGGGGCGCTGCACCAATAACCCCTGAAGGAAACGACACAAAAGCCTCTGAAGACACTGAGAGCAACCTCCTTCTTCACCAGATGGAAACAAAATGGAGACGTCAGATTTTAGTGGTTGGAGGATTTCTCTTTAGTCTTTGGCTAAAAACATTTCTCCTGCTAGTGCTAGGCTAGCATGTTAGCTTTGGTTGTATTTAGCCAGAATGCCCTGCGCTGTAGTCCACTTCCTGCTTTTGGAGCGGTCTTGGACTGCTTGACGTTCATGTATGCCAAGAAGTGAACCAGAGTTCACTTCACCCAAACCCAGATTGAGATTTGGAGGACCAGAGGTCAATTACTGTTCACACCTCCATGACCAAACTGGACTTTCTAGACAAATGGACAGGAGTCGGATTAAAGAGGACTAAACAGGTCCTCTGGTGTTCACCCTGGATGGGAGGAGCATAAAGTCAGTCCCAGTCAAATTCTGCATTCAGGTTGTTTTTCCCTCTAGCTGCGGTCATTTATTCCTCACTTACCTGTGGAACTGTTCCTGCTTATTTATCCCTTGGATGGTGAAGAAACCTGACTCATATCCCAACAAAATCATCCCTAATCTGCATTTTGTCTCCAAAGTAAAAGAGTTACACCTCAACTTCTTCTGTTCTGGAAGCCAAAAATAATAATCTGAACGTCTCATGCAGCTGAACTGGATCTGCAGTTCTTCACTCACCTGGAGTCAGTCTCTGGAGGTCAGCCTCTTCTTCAGAAGAAAACCATCGTTTTCATGCTTCAGTGAAAACAATGACCGTTTTTATGCTTCATCAGAACTGTTGCAGCAGGTCACTTCCTGTTTCCTGCAGGTAACCTTTGGTATTGTTTATGTCACTAATCAGTCAGCCATAAACCAGCTGTGGGTCTGCAGGAACTCCTGCCTCTTCAAGTCTGTTCCAGGTCTTCATCATGTAGATTCATCCTGAAAGAGAAGATATTTAACCCGAGAGTAGAACTGATTTAATCTGAGTGTTTACTTGAAAGCTGAACATATCTGAGAGCAAGAAGTTTGCTTTTGGTATGGATTCTGTCTTTTCTTCTTTCTCTTTTAGCCTCCTCTACCTGCTTACACACACACAATGTAGCTTACATAACCATGTTTATATATAAACAGACTGAATCTGATTAGACTTCCCGTTAGGGAGAGAACACACTGCAGAGGAGAAAAAAAGCTAGAAAATTCCTGAAGAAATTTAACCGGGGCCTGCCAAAGTGTGCCTGTCGGTTGGAACCCATCGTTCTGATGATAACAATTAGCATCAATGCTAAAGAAAGCTGCAATGTACTCAACAACTTGTGGAACATTTCAAGCATGTAGAGTAGCATGGACCTATGGCATTCTGTATGCTAAAATTAATGTATAAGGTAAAATGCTAATGTTAGCCTAAATGCTAGCAGTAGCATGTGGAGCATCACTAGCATGTTATTTTAATTTGACTTGCTCCGTTCAGTATACTAAACATTTCTAATTAATAAGAAAATGAACTAATAGCTAACTTTAGGAAAAAGGCTAATGCTGATCAACTGCCTTGCTGTGCTAGGCAGTGCATTAGTGGGAGGCAGTGAAATGCTAATATTTGTGCTAATATTAATGAACTGTCTTACTGTACAAGACCAGCGCTGGACGGTGAATGTAACTCTGGTTCTGGTCCATCTGGATGACATGTTTGGCTTCCAACATTTTATCATTTTTTGGCATTAAAGCCTTTTTTCATATATAACCAGATCTCATTATTTCTCAAGGTAATTTACACTGAGGGGTTCTGGTCGGGTTCTGGAACTAATGGACCTGGTGGAGCACAGAGACAGAAATGAATGAACTCTAACACCTTTAAACTTGGAGTTTAAAGCAAGAGCAGAAAGTTAATCTGAGATTATGAATGTAGAAAAAGAGCTGCTGCCTCAGATCAGAACCATCTTCCATGTTCAACCATGTTCAAGATCTGCTCAACAGCAGGTTCAGCTCTGAGTGGACTCCACTCTCTGCCTGATCCAAACAGCAGAGCTCATCTTACTGGACTTCATGGGAGGTAGAAGAACATGAATCAGCACTAAGATTATCCCCAGTTCTTTCCAGAACCAACCCAGAGGATCTGAAATGGTTCTGATTGTCTTCATGGGGAAACTAGTAAAAAAATAATCCAAACAGACTAAATTGCAAAAATATTGAATGTGCTAGTTCTAAATTAGGCTGATATCTCTTTAATTTTATTGTTTGCTCTTGCTACTTATCTATAGAATTGTAATATAATTTTACCTCTATGATCTTTTAAATAAAATAAACTAAACATGGATTTAAAATGCAAATAAAGTCCATTCCATGTTTTATTTTCTGTGAAATAAGCTGCAGTAAAGCTTCTCCCCAGCAGGGGCGGTAACCGCGCTGACCGGAAACCGGAAGTAGCGGAACTGTTTGCTGCTGCTCGTTGTTTCAGCTCCATCATCGTTGGACCACAGCTGCAGTCATGGTGAGACTTTCAGCGATTCTGGTTGTGGACGGGTCCGTTCATTGCGTGGATATGATCCGGTTCTGTTCTAGAGAACCGGTCGGCTCTGGAGCCGCTGTGCTGGGAGAAAACCAGTCAAATCTGACCGGTTTGGACGGGTTCAATATTTTTTGCATATGATTCGGTTCTGTTGTAGAAACGCGGTCCGCTGTGCGACCGCTGTTATCTAGTTAAATCAGAGCGGTCCGGTTCGGCAGCTGATCGGAACCAGTCACTGGTATGAAGTTGGATAATCGGTGTGTTCTGGTTCTGTTTGCAGGCGAGGAACGCTGAGAAGGCCATGTGAGTAACAGGTTCTGTCCGAACCCACCATCCGGTTCTGCTCACCTGTCCAACAGAAATTATATTAAACAGACCCAGATGAGGAACGTAACCAAAAAACAGTTTGGAACCTTGAATCGGTTCTCTAAAGCAGCTGATTCGGACAGTTCCGACCCATCTGCCCAGAACCCGTCCTCCTGTCCGAACCAGCTCTGCTTCCCATGGGTTACCTTCTCCCTCTGCTCTGTCTTTCAGGACGGCTCTGGCCCGCTTCAGGCAGGCTCAGTTGGAGGAGGGGAAAGTCAAGGTCTGGTTCTGCTTGGTTCTGCTTGGTTCTGTTTTGGACCCGTTTGTCTGACTCTGACCGTGTCCCTGCAGGAGAGGAGACCCTTCCTGGCTTCAGAGTGCAGCGAGCTTCCAAAGGCTGAGAAATGGAGACGACAGGTACCAACAGAACCCTGGTAGTAACTCTGTAGTATTCAGTAGTAACTCTGTAGTATTCAGTAGTAACGCTGTAGTATTCAGTAGTAACTCTGTAGAGTATTCAGTAGTAACTCTGTAGTATTCAGTAGTAACGCTGTAGTATTCAGTAGTAACTCTGTAGTATTCAGTAGTAACTCTGTAGTATTCAGTAGTAACTCTGTAGAGTACTCAGTAGTAACTCTGTAGT